GACCCCAGTAGAAGGAACAGGCCATCAAGGAGGGAGGCGCCTTTCTCTGAAAGGAGGAAGGAACCTCCACTGTGATATGGCCTTGACTAAACAAGTTCAGAGTCGGTGAACTCAAGGGGCTTCCATAGCCTAGACAGCTCATAGCAAGAATCTCGGGTGATTGCTGATGTCATAAATAAGAGTGCCAATTGTTAAATCAACAACGGGAGTCACTGGGTACAGGCTCCCCATGCAGGATCTCTGTCCTTAATGTGTTTTACTATGAAACTTAAAAACACTACTAGTCGAACAATGCCCTATACCTTGTGCGGTTGTGTGAGTGCAGCCTGTTGAAATCCTTGCTTAGTGTATACTAAGTTGATCTTCTGTATATAAAGGTAATTGAAAATGAAACTCGATGAAGGGCAGGATGGGAGAGGGAGGGGGAGAGGGGAGGGCTGCGGGAGGGAGAGAGGTTGGGGGGGAGCCACAACAATACAAAAGTTGCACTTTGTAAATTCACATTTATTAAATAATAAAAAAAAAAAAGTGCTCCTAACAGGCAACACTGAACTCAGGTTGTATACATTACCTTGTTGCAAAAATAAATTTGCATAATTGATTAGACCACCTGAAGAGCCTCAGCTTTAAAAACTCTAATGGAAAAAAAAGCTGACCACACCACCATATGAAATGTGCCCCATCAGCAGTTGGATTGTCTGGGACAGCACTTCCAGTCCCCAGATCTCTATCAAGGTTTATTGCTTGGCCAGTGCCGCAGCTCAATAGGCTAATCCTCCACCTGTGGTGCTGGCACCCCGGGTTCTAGTCCCAGTCGGGGTGCTGGATTCTGTCCCGGTCGCTCCTCTTCCTGTCCAGCTCTCTGCTGTGGCCTGGGAGGGAAGTGGAGGATGGCCCAAGTGCTTGGGCCCTGCACCCGCATGGGATACCAGGAGAAGCACGTGGCTCCTGGCTTCGGATTAGCGCGGTGCACCGGCCACTGCGGCCATTGAGGGGTGAACCAACAGAAAAGGAAGACCTTTTTCTCTGTCTCTCTCACTGTCCACTCTGTCAAAAAAAAAAAAAAAAAAAAAAAAAAAGGTTTATTGCTTAGCCCATGTGGTGCCTCACATATTCAACCAAGTGTCATTCACAGCTCTGTGACAGATACTCAGAGTCTTAATCTAGTAACCTCAGCTGGCCTGAAATGCTAGGTCTTGGCCCTCTGTGTTGGGTCAGTCCTAACAAACCAGCCAGAGAAAATGAAACAACTATTAATGCCTATAAAATTGATGATTTTGTGTAAACTGTGACTATATATGGGTATAATAAATAACACACAATTATTGGACTCTTCGTTTATGCTGTTCTTAAAAAAAATGCTTGGCCGGCGCCGTGGCTCAATAGGCTAATCCTCCGCCTGCGGCACCGGCACCCCAGGTTCTAGTCCCGGTTGCTCCTCTTCCAGTCTAGCTCTCTGCTGTGGCCTGGGAGTGCAGTGGAGGATGGCCCAAGTCCTTGGGCCCTGCACCCCCATGGGAGACCAGGAGAAGCACATGGCTCCAGGCTTTGGATTAGCATGGTGCGCCAGCCGCAGCAGCCATTGAGGGGTGAACCAATGGAAAAGGAAGACCTTTCTTTCTGTCTCTCTCACTGTCCACTCTGCCTGTCAAAAATTAAAAAAAAAAAAAAATGCTTAATAGAACTTGTTCTACTATATGTATGCCTGATTAGACTCATAAGTATTTACTCCTTAGATTTTGCCAGATTTATATAGCTACTCTGTTAGATGTTCACCGTTTAATTGAACATGTAACTAGTATTAAATTTTAAGGAGGATTTAATCACTACTAATCAAAAATATTATACAAAGAAAAATTGAAAGTATGTTTTTGAATTCTATATGTTCTGTAAGCTAAGAGTAAATGTTTAAAGGGGAAAAGGTACCTAGAGATGCCTAATTTTAATATACAGGATAATAATCAGAACACAACATGGGAGTACCGCTTCTCATATACAAAAAGCACTTTTTGGGAACTAAAGCACTAATGATTTCCACTGGAATTGTAACTGTACCAAAAACATCTTTCATGTTCTGATTAACTACTGAGCTTGCAACTAATTAGTGTCTGTTCAATTCAACACACAATGCTTGTTTGTGAATTCCAGAAACCAGCCTTGGGAGTCAGCTGAAGTTGCAAAGCAATCCGGCCCTCCTGGGTCAGCATGACCACAGGATTGGGTGTTTTGCAACAGAATGAAAAGGGATACAAATAACTAAGGGCATAATAAGCTTGTGCCCTAGGCTGAGTGGGCCTCATCAGGGTTAGTCAAACACTTAACTGAATACTTGGGCTCTTTCATACACTAGCCAAATAATACTCTGTAGCTGCTTCCTTGTGCAGACCATCCAGTTTTGCCTTCTGCATGATAATGTCAAGTCATCAGCAAGTTTCTCAAGGAGCTGTGTTGACATTCAAGATTCATAAAACACCATTATCAACACTGGTTTCAGTGCCTCTCTACTTCTTTTTTTTTTTTAAGATTTATTTATTTATTTGAAAGGAAAAGTTACACAGTGAGAAAAGGAGAGGCAGAGAGAGAGAGAGAGAGAGAGAGAGAGAGAGAGATCTTCCATCGCTGGTTCACTCTCGAGCTGGCAGCAATGGCCAGAGCTTTGCTGATCTGAAGCCAGGAGCCAGGAGCTTCTTCCAGGTCTTCCATGCAGGTCAGGGACCCAAGGACTTGGGCCATCTTCTGACTTCCCAGGCCATAGCAGAGAGCTGGATTGGAAATGGAACAGCCAGGTCTCGAACCGGCACCCATATGGGATGCCAGCACCGCATCTGACATGCCATTAGCCATTCTCAGCAGCCTAACTTCTTTTTCACTCCTTAAAAACCCCAGACGACGCTCACTGATGAGGATGGTAGTTCTTGAAACATTAATCTGCCACCCTTCTTATTCACTGAGGGATTGTTAAGCTTTCTCTTTCCTTTATCCCCAAACCTTGTCCTCATTATTCTGATTTGGTATGAATGACAAGGACCAGACTTCCAGTAACAGAATGATAGTCACTGATCTCTACTTTTAGGACTACAGGGTTATACAAAATGAAATTAAGATCAGAATCCACAACATCAAAGAATCAATGTGTCCTTGTGAAATGCAGATGATTCCAGTGTCTCTAGATATAAGAATTTCAAGAGATTGACTAATTTAAAGTCTAATAGCTTTAGAGACCATTAATACATTAACATGAAAATTGATCTTTTGCTAATATAAAATCTGCAATCACCACTGAAAAAAAGCTCATTCTGGTATTTGTGCATTTTTCAGAGAGTAAAAATATCTAGGTTTAAACTATTTTTTTTTAAAGATTGATTTATTTATTTGAGAGACAGAGTTACAGAGAGGGAGAGACAGAGAGAGAAGCCTCACTGGTTCATTCCCCATTGGCTACAACGGTAGAGCTAGGCAGATCCAAAGCCAGAAGCCAGGTCTCCAATGTGGGTGTTGGGCCATCTTCTACTGCTTTCCCAGGCCACCACTAGGGAGCTGGATTGCAAGTGGAGCAGCCAGGACTCGAACTGGTGCCCATATGGGATGCAAGCACCTGCAGGCAGAGCCTTAACCTATTATGAACAGCACCAGTCGAAGCTAAGCAATTTCTAAAATTTTAAACATTCAGTCAAAAAAAATGTTAATTTGATCACACTACTTATATTCTAGCAAATATAACCCACCCAGTCACATAAACACACTGCCAAACCAAAAACATCCATCATTGTAACTATTTTTTCTTATAGGTCTCTAAGGAGATTGTTTCCGTTTTAACATAAGCAAGTTATGAAGCCTCTAAATGTCTTTTTATATGAAAAAAAACTATCAAAATAAATAAATTTATCCTAGCATATTTGCTCAATGACTGAAAACTCATAAAACTGCTAGGAATGAAAAGTTTTCATGCATGCCATGGATGCCCTGTTGAAGGGCTAGAGCTCTAGAAAAAAAGGGGAAGGGGAAAAATAAAATATTTACTGGCAATAGTTAAGTCAAAAAGTATAGCAACAGAACAAACTTTAGGCATTAAAACCAAGGATAAAAATACAGAAAATCAGGACTGGCACTACAGCACAGAAGGTTAAACTGCTGGTTGTGACACCAGGATCCCATATTGAAATGCTGGTTTGGGACCCAGCTACCTGCTTCTAACCCAGCTTCCTACTAATGTGCCTGAGAAGGCAGTGGATGATGGTCCAAGTGCTTGTGGGAGACCAGGTTGGAGTTTCTGGCTCCTTGCTGAAGGATGGCCCAGATTTGGCTATTGTGGCCATTTGGGGAGTAAACCAGTGGAGGAAAGATCTCTCTTTCTCTCCCTCTCTGCTATTCTGCCTTTCAAATAAATAAATCTTTTTAAAGATATATAGAAAATCAATGAAATTAATCTAAAGCTAAAACTTTTCATTGAGCTCAAAAGCAAAACTTTTACACCATAACATCATGTTAAAAATTAATTTAAGATTTTAAGGCTCGGCCGGCGCCACGGCTCACTAGGCTAATCCTCCACCTTGCGGCGCCGGCACACCGGGTTCTAGTCCCGGCCGGGGCGCCGGATTCTGTCCCGGTTGCCCCTCTTCCAGGCCAGCTCTCTGCTGTGGCCAGGGAGTGCAGTGGAGGATGGCCCAAGTACTTGGGCCCTGCACCCCATGGGAGACCAGGAGAAGATTTTAAGGCTCTCTAAATATTGCTAACTCTAAGTAACAGATACAGTGTGTGTACAGATAGCTGATAGAGTAGACATGAAGAGACAGACATTAGAGATGAGGGATAGATGACTGACAGGTGGACAGATAGATGGACGTATGTTACAGATAATGGATAGTTGGATGATAGATAACTTCAAAACATTTACTTGCCATTAAATACCTTGCAAAAAAAATTCTTTCAATTTGCTTTGAAAAAGGACAACAGGTGACTTTTGTTCCAAGTCAGGAAGAAGTAACACAAAATGACACGTCTGGAGTGAGAATCCTTTAATAACTATATTCATTTCCAGAGAACAATAAATACAGGAATTGCAAGCAGTATATATAACAGTAGTATTTTCTTTAGATACAGAAAGCAGCAACTTTTTTACAACTTAAAGACCAAACACTTGTTTTTGAAAATAGCACTGAGAAAAGCCACACGATGGAAGAAAAATACTAGCAAAATGAAAAGTGATTCATTCTCAACCCTAAACACTGAGGTCCCCACTCCAGGTGCTCTGCCACAGATAAGGGGGCTGAGAGGCAGCGCTCAACTCCGTGCAGCAGTAGTCTGAGGCTGCTCTGATTGAAGCTGTTTGCCGAGATATTCCCTAAAAAATAAGAATGAAATGACAGAAGCAAATTAGAATTTAAGGAACACTTTCAAAATTGAAACACAAATACACTGTCATTATAGACTTATTTTAACATCTGAAAGTTAGTAATAAAATAGCCCTAGCAAACTAAATTTTCCACATTTCAAAAGTACTTGTACTATATGGACTCTACTCTTTGTACCCTATAAAAGTAAGTCATGACACACAACTAGTAATTCTGCAAGCATGAATGATCACAAGGCAATGTGAGCAGATTTCCCGAGGAAAGTCTACTTTCCTGTTCAGATGAAAGTTTTGTTTATTACCACTGCCACTTCCTCAATTTTAGAAGTTCAAAAAAATCAACTGAATTATGATTCCAAGTGGCCTCCTACATGGAAAGCACATTTCCTGATGCTAGAGAACACACCCATCTGCACCCTTGGAGGAACCTGCACGCACAGGAAGGGGAGGCCTGAGAGTAACATCAGGATCACAGATCTAACAGAAACTGTGAGGTGCACTCATTTTGCATGGCTCGGCCGAACGCCTGCACGAAGCCAATTGCACTGAACCCCCAGAACCATCACAAGCGCTGAGTGATGGGATGCCCACTCTACACATGGAGCAACAGCACCTTGGAGCAGTCTCCTTCAGAGAAAAAAACTGACTATGTACCCACAATTTAGCTCTATGTAACATACAGATGCTTCTATTCAGTCCAGGACAAAAAAATAATCTTTTCCTCTAGCCTGTGAAGGAGTTGCCCAAACTTTTCTTTAGAACTAACTAACAAGAGCCCAGAAAAATATTTTTTAAGACTATGAAAAATATTCCCTTTTATAAAAAAGAAGAAAACATGTTTCGGAGACCTAGGTTTGCATTCCAGCTCCTTCACTTCATAGACATTCTAGCCCCAGGGGTCACAATGTCCCTGCAAGGGTTCAGAGGTACTGTGTGTGATGGCCCAGGATAAGCAGCAGGCAGCATGAGTCAGCACCATCCCCTCCTGCCTTTCAACCAGCCATTCCATCGCTTCTATTTATTTATGTATTTATTTATTTGAAAAGCAGAGGAGACATACAGAGAGAGAGAGAGAGAGAGAGAGAGAGATCCTATTGGTTCACCCCCAAAATGGCTGCAATGGCCAGGGCTGGGCCAGGTGGAAGCCAAGAGCGTTATCCAGGCCTCCTACTTGGGGGCAAGGGTCCCACACACCTTCTACTGTTTCCCCAGGTGCATTAATGGGGACCTGGGTAGGAAGTGGAGCAGTTGGGACTTGAACTTGCACTCATATGGGATGCTGGCACCACAGACAGCAGCTTAACCTGCTATGCCACACCTCTTCTTGTTTGTGCCCCACTAGGAAACTTTGGGTGCCATCAGTGTCTAGTGAAAATTGCTACTCTTCCTTTCTCCAGAGAGGCCTGAATAAGGAAAAAGGAATAACCTGTGTGTTCCACCTGCTATGCACTGTACTTTGCTGTTACAGCCTAGTTCAGAGCACTAAGATAGGAAACAAGACTGAGAAAAGCAAGAAGCCCACACAACAGGAAAGGGGAAAATGACACGCAGTGGTATAGGAGAAGGAAGAAGGAAATCCCTACTTGTGAGATGTCCCAGATCCCTTAAAGGCTGAAGAAAGTGAATGGTGGTTGCAGACGCTGGGAGGCTGACATGAAAATGGTTTATGATCTTTTTTTATCCTTACAGGAAAGTTCTGATGACTGACTCACTAATTTGGGGTGTCACATCAAAGTGTATAATAGTTTCATGTTACTAGCAACTACCCAACATAATTAGGCAATGGAATCTTAATTCTGTAAATTATTCTGTAAATAGCAATGTCTAATTTATGTAAAGATTAAAAGGAAAGCCATCCTATAAACTTCATTAGAAGGAAAATTGCAAGAGTTTACGACAACTGTTCATGATGCTCCTCTGGGAAGGCCTGAAACTAAGACGTATCTGTGCTGCCAAGGTTGGTGTTCTTAGGGTGGGTGGCTGCAGGGTGGGTTGATGACATTTACCACACAATTTCCAGATCTTGCATTAGCTTTTTCTAAATGTACATAAGTAATTAAGCCTGAATTTAGATATATGCACTTCAAGGGGCTCTTCAAATATTCTGACTTTGAATGCTCCTCTGTTTAGTGTGGTTTCTTAGAAAAAAAATGTAAACAGGGAACTTAAAGACTTTGTGCTGCCTTCAATTCCTCAGCCATGGTTCTTGCCATAAAGGACCAATGTCAAGGACCTTGTCCTAAGATGTAAGTTTCCTAGACACCTGGCAACAGGACGTAGCAATGCCTCTAGGAGCTCACACTGTGAACTGCTAAGTGACACAAAAGGTCCTCACGGGTTTCGTCACACACAGAGGCCTCCAGATATTTAAAGCCTGGCTCATTCCCCTACCAGACTGAACCAATATTTAGGGAACAAGAGTGAATTCTTGGAGCTGGGGAAAATCACTGATTCCCAAACAGGGCATTACTGAAGGAGGGTCAAGGCAGGAGGGTATTTCAACAACAAGGAGGTGAGTTGTTCTAGCAGAGAATTTAGAGATAAAGCAAATCACAGCTCCTTTCCTGTTCATCTTCTTCCATTTGTTCTCCTGGCCAAAAGTATACATTTGGACAACAGCCTCTCCTACACTCTCATTTTTTCCATATATACAGGTGCATACCAGAGGCATCTCCTTCTGCATAACCTGTGGAAAAATCACAGTCTCCTTTCCTCTGTCTGCCAAGGAGTCTATATAATTTAGTATTTGGGGGAAAGACAGGGACACAGATAGACATAAATGATGCAACTGACAACTTAGAGGCCAAGGGCCCCACATGGAACTTCATGAGCTGAACTTGTGGAAATATAGATCACAAAATGACAAAGGCCAATCAAACGAAGAATCCAGACAGTAGGCATAGAGAAACTAATCAAATCTCCTGAAGGGTTCTTAAAATCACCATGTTTGGTGTGGTGTGTGGGTTGTTAAAATACTGGAGGGAGCTGACTAGTGCTCACGTGGAAAAGATCCTGTACTATGGAAAAGGACTGGAACTGCTGTTGTGGTGTAGAAACTTAAGCCACAGCCTACACCATTTTGCTCTTCTTGTCACTCTACCTTTCAAATAAATCTAAGTTGAAAAAAAAAAGCAAGCAAAGGACTTAATATACACAAGGGTTGGAAGGAAACTGACTCCTTTGAACTTGGCTTATAAAGTGTCATAATCTGCTCCCCTGGGCCTAAATGCTACCTATCATCAATGATAACATTCCCAAGATGAAAGGACACAAGTCCTGCCTCTGAATCCCAGTGACCCCAGGCACAGTGAAGTTTAACAACACAAACTGAGGATTGAGAATACAGACTGGCTACCACCATTCCCACTGAATCACAAGCTCTCACAGAACATTTACTTCAGGACATCCACACATTATCCCCTTTCATTGTTTTATGCCCCTGGTGAAGTAGGTGCTCCCTTCCCTAGGACAGCTGCCAGTTTCCAAAAAGAGCCTGGAAAGGTGCAGAAAATAGATGCTGTTTTCTGTTTTTCAGATTGGAAGACTACTAGAAGGTGTGAATATTTCTTCAGATTAAAGTTACATTACTGTTAAGACAAAAGAAAAAATTAGTATGGATTTTACTTTAGGGGTTATAATTATAACAAAGGACTCAGGAAGAGATGTTTTAAAAGAATTATCTGAGTACTGAGTCAATCTTTCTTTATACACGTGAAGATGACCAACAAAAATTCCACTTACAATTCACTGAAAAGGAGCCTGACTTATATCAGCAATCTTCAGAAGTCAAATCTTCACTTCTACTACCTACAAACCATAATCTGAGAAGTATAAATGTTTCTCTTTGATTTCATCCCTAACTGAAATATTTTGGAATCCCAACATCTCTGAAACTGAAAAAAAGGAGTAGTCTAAACATCAACTTGCCTTCTTAAGAATCCAAAAACAGTTCACAAAGAGATCACACCATCTGGTGCAAAAGTGTCTGCATCTCCCTAAGAAATACTGAAAAGCTGCTTGCCAGTCCTATAAGGCACCATGAAGCAGCTGAGATGGGACAGAGGCTGAAGATAATGTTTGCTATCTGGCTTCCATTCTGATTTCTAGAAGCTAAGGCACCAGGAAGCATCATTAACTCAGAATATCAGAAAGGCCTTCAATGTGTTATGTACAGGTAAGCCACACTGTCATAGTTCCTTAGTTGTTTCAAGACTCAAATGTTCTTTCTTTAAAACTGTACTTGAAGATACTGACTGATAGAGTGTGACCTGTTAACTTCACCTGTGTAGTTTGAAACACATGGTAACTTCAGCTATATAGTTTAGTGCTAAAAAGCACTTGGTAAGTTTACCTATAAAATTTAGTGGCATGAAAAAAAATGAATTTTTGACTAACAAACATATCAGGCAACAAAAATCCAAAGTTTTATTTTTCTTTTGCCTTGACTCCCACAAAAGTTCAACAGAAAACCCACTATTAATAGTATTTTTGTACTATTTTCCCTAGTTTTCTTTCAGTATGTAAATTTTTCATAACTAAAATCATAGTGTTCCCAGAATTCTAAACCCCAGTTTTCTGCATGTTTATCATAATAATTAATAAAAGTGCAACTGAGTCCTATTTGTCATAACTTTTACCTATTCTGCTTTGGAAACAAGTTAGTATAATACAGAGCATTAATAAAATCTTGCTTTCAAACGTACAAAAACAATTTATCTTAGAAAATATGAACTTTGTAGTTTTTTATAATTCTAATTTATATTTGGTAAAGAGAAAAATAGTGTAAACAATTTTATAATTACTGTCTTAATGCTAACTCACTATAGTTTAGTTAATGAATTTAGTAATTCCCCCTACTTTATCTGGATTTTGAATATTAAACATAAAGCAAATTTTGTTTTTATGAACTGAAAAAAATAGCTTTTCCTATGTAAAAAGTGAGCACATAAAAATTATTTGCATCCAATTTATAGAAACATTTAAATTCCAAA